GTTAGATAGATGCAGCGCAAGTTTTCTCTCATAATATCATTGACGCGCAAGTCGCTGGTCCTGCGTCGAACTTTTGTGAGGCACAGAGTTGGCCTCGTAAAAACCGACGATTGAACAATCATGTGCGTTTTAAATATTTTCTTGCTGGTTTTTTATTTGACCAACAATCCTACCGGCTGAATTAATTTTGAACGTAGGCGACCACGAAAAGTGTGTGCATAAGCCACATTCCCTAGGGCATTCAGAAGTCTATCGCTATTTTAGTCGAAGATCACGAGATACGATATTTCGTTTGCGATCGTGGGCGGTCTCACGGGACAACGTATCTATTATCTGTCAGTAATAAGAACCAAGCACATCCTTGTTGTAAAGATGCAGTATGGGGATTTATTAAGACCTTGATTTTGGCGCCTGCTTTATGAAGAGGAAGTCGAGTGTTAAGGTGGAAAATGAGTCTTGATGACCGACTACTCCTTTCCCAATTACATAGCCTTGACTAAATCGTTCCATAAAATCGAAAAATGTGGCCAAAAAATCTAGGTTCTCAACGAAACTTGCTCTTAAATTTTCGTCTTCATATCTTCGTAAATGCCGAGGGACGCGCCACGGCTCAAGACAACGGTAACAGCGGTCTAATTGGGTAATAAAAAATGAGCTCTAACAAGACTTTCAGCATCTGGCCAATTCACCAGCAAGAACTATTTCTGCATTACATCTCGCCTAATTTCACTGTCATTCCAAAGAAATGTGGTTGCGGCCTCGAGTTTGAGAAATATGGGCAACAAAATTGTAGCTGTGGCCCATGGACTGCGCCCTGGTACCGCCTAATCCGAAAAAATTAAAAAAAGAAGGCTGTCTAAACTATTATAGAAAACCGATACAGGGATAACAGGGACTTCCACCCTGTTAGTAACTGACAGTACGGAAAAACAAGGGTCAAATTCGACCTCTGCTAACAATCAAACCTTGTCATTAAGTCGGACCTGTCATATTAACTCCTAGTGTTTAAGTTCAGTCATGATTATTTCCCTTGATCAGTTAATCCCTACATGGTAGCATTCTACTTTCAGCTTTTCGCACACTACAGTTAATTACAACGCGTTTTCATGGGAGTTTCTGAAGGAACTCGAACCTTCCTGCAGCCTTCATTAATTCCTTCGTGATACACAGTAAAACAGCGTAGTTTATGCGATGTTATGAACTTCTTCGGCATGATTAAATTAACATACACAAGACGACTGCATGACCAAGTTGTTATGGCGTCTTTTCTAAAAAACAGAAAGATGCTGATGGGCAAAGTGAATTTTCAACGGGACACTAGGAAACTGGTACATGGATATTTTAGTATGTCGGGAGATACAATTTTCACAGAGGTTGGCGTGAACTCTTCGCAAAAATATAGACATTTAGGGAGCAGTGCAGCAACTAAGGTATTATGGGCAAAGCATTATAAGCTCTTTAGCCGAGGGAGGCAACATTTTCTAAACATCGAATAAACTATAGCATGTGACTTAGCCAAGTAGATAAAATTAATTCGACGGGTGTATGGGTAGCCTTTACAAGTTCACATGTCGGAGACAAAGAAGGAAGACTAGCAGGTCAAGACCACGTGAAGTGCAAATTGGCCTGCTAGGTGTATGCCCTTGTTAGCCTGTCCTCTCATACGAGGTTTGAGAATGTCTAAATCTAAAAGCTCCAGCCTCGTCGAAAACCATACGTTCGGTGTTTGAGGAATATGTCCAGATCTTTCATTTGGCCTATTTGTGAGGAACTAGCCGGCCTAGGTGAGACTGAAACCCATGAAAACTAGGACAAGGATCGAGTACAGCTAAAGCTCCAACCACCTGAACTACGAGGCCCACACAGAGAGCTGAACTTAATCATAATTCGAATCTCAAAGTGCAAGCGTACGTTTCACCCCTCCCAGTGCAATGTATAAAACGCCAAACTTCCCTACAGTAACTTATAGCTGCAAGCATTTTGAGCAGGAATAAATATCGTAATAGGAGTGTGCCTGACAAAGGACTGAGATGCGATCAGGTAGACATAGGTCAGTTTACCGAAGGGTCTAGTAGCGAGGGATTGAGAAGCAAAAACGACCACATAAGCAGCAAGGCTGGATCAGGGATCCCGAAATTTAAGTATGTAAAAAGGTTTCCTTTACAAAAACTCGTTTTTATTCAAAAGACGAATTATACAGAGTCTCCTGAAGTAAAAAGTCGAAATCTCGAGGGGAGAAAGGCGGGGTCGTACGAGCGTTAGCCTCGTCTAGCTAACTATCTCCATGGTTTCGCGTTCCTCGACCTCCTCATCTTCCTCCTCAACGGCGTCCTCTCCCTCTTCCCCCTCTTCCTCCTCTCCATCCTCCAGTTCCTCAGCCTCGCCGTCAGTATCCGAAAGTCGGGACATAGATGCGAGTTGCTAAAGACGGGGAAAGTCAGGAAGAGTGTACCGGGCAACAAGCTGGACGCTCTAATAAGTAGCGAAATAACATGAAAAGACCATATCGTCAACACATGAACTGGCAATCTACAACATTAGCCGAATGTCACTTCAAAAACTCGCTTGTCCAACCAAGTAGGGTGCCGACTACAAGCAAAACTAGTTCCTTACATCAAAGGCGGTTGATTTTACTTGTTCAGTTAACGGTAATGTGATTGAGTCCTGAAAAACAGTCAGCTTTTCGTGCAAAAAGATTTAAGATGGGTTTACGATTAAGTTGTTTGTCTGCATGATGGACATTTGACGGACTCCCTGCAAGTGAGGTTTTGGGCTATTGGTTTATTATTATGGGTTTGCGTGGATGTAGGGAGCTGATGCACGGCAGAGTTTATAGGATGCGATTTCATGGGCTCGGTGTGAATTATCTATGCTGTGACTGTATAATAATGTTATACGAAAGTGTATGTCCAGTTGCCCCATCTATAACTGCTTAGTACTTTCTAGCGAGGCCTCGCACAAAAGGAGATTGATCTTAGAACCTGGTAGAAGTAGGGTATCGGCAGTGCGGAAAATACTTAACGGTCAGCAGTCAGGTGAACGCTCGCCAGCGAGTGTCAATATCCCCTGGCCTAAACCGGCTAGACAACGAGCTCGTGGCTCAATGGTTAGGGCGTGTGACTTTGATCAAAAGGGTCGCGAGTTAGAGGCTCGAGTTGGACACCATTTGGGTTTGGATATGACTGCCTGACGATGGCTAATAAGCCAAAAATGGTCATTCCAGTCTCCGTTGTCTTTGTCGGCAATGCTATCTGCCTATACTACCAGCTTTTACGACTGCCAGGACCTCTGACGAGGTCCAAGGCAGAGCAAGACAGATGAGTCCCGTTAGCGGTCAGATGAACTTTTATCAATGAATACTTACACCAATAGAGGAGAATATCCGAGTTCCAGGAAGCAGTTCAGAAGAAGAAGAAGCGGTCAGTGGAACAAGAGGTTTACTATCCTGACGTTTCGGATTCTCGAGGGAATCCTAAACGTCAGGACAATAAACCTCTTGTTCCAGTGATCACTTCTTCTTCTGAAATACTTAAACCGGTAGAAGTCCTAATAAACATCACCGTCGTATTGTAGGATGTTGTTGTTCCCTCGGGGTTGATTTGCGTGCTCATGCAGACATTTCTGGATCGACTAGGCCTTTTCTAATTAGATAGCTTGGTCGTAGACGTCACTCAGATGGTTACTTCTTACCGACAAGCGAACGACGGCAACTCGAACAGACTACGGAAAGGCCTGGGAAATACTTTAACCAGACAGCTTATGATCTGCATTTACGGCAGTAGAGAATTCACCAGAACTCGTTTGTGAAAATTGCAACAGCAATCTGTGTGAGGCAGTCTTCACGGAGGGCAAGTTTAACACAATGCATTTCATTATTAGGAGGTTTGACAGATTTGCTCAAAACAGTGCATTTCGGAAAATTATCTATGGAGCAAATAGGAACAGAAGAGTAGGGGCTCACAAAATATTATGGTTAAAAGGGAGGAAGACGGTTAACGCGAAAGCTTCCTTCTAATAAAACCAAATTGTTGCGAAGTTTGTTTTGACAAATCCAAAGAAACTCTACGCCAAAAGACCAAGCAAGACAAAACTGCGCTAGTTCTTCTTACTCTCAGCCTAGGGGACAGCGAAAAACGATTCTGGACGCAAGGAGACCCTGGGAGGTGGCAGTAGGTGATGCTGCCGTGGTCTCCCTAATATAGTCCTTTTAATCTGGTCATGGCGTTAATGTGCTGGGCCAACATAATGGTTAGATAAATGTACGGCAGGTGTTATGAGGAATGCCCACCCATCAAAAATACCGCAAATAGCGGCGTGTGATGACACGCCTAGATGTGGGTTAACGCCGTGCCAGCCACCTGCATCCTCTTCTGCCTTCGGTTTACTTGACTTGGCCATGACACCGGCCCCAGGTGCGTGAGGAGAGAGTGCGGTAGATACTATGCAAGTCTACTATTACTACAAACTAATTCACGCGCCAGTCATCGTTTTGCGCCCACCCTACTGATGGGAGCGCACGTTCGACATCATCAGCAAATGGGGCAAATCTATTACCCCGGTGAAAACATCATAAAAGCCGAGTTGAAGTTTCGATATACAACCTACTGATAATTGCATTTAATTTCAAAACAATTGTAATTGCCAGTCTTTATGAGAAAAAACAAGAATAAAGTTTTTGATATAGAAAGTAGCTGTTGTAGCAAAGGATAAATTACAGACACAATAGATGTGTAATGCGATTGAGACAGATACCGAATAGCTTCCTACAGATGGTGTTGATGTTTCCGCGTTAGAAATGTTGAACTTATGTAATAAAAAGCGCCGAAAGCTGCTAAAAGGGCTCCTATTCGCTTTCAGAACGCAGCACAACAGATAATGCGTCTAAAGGAGCAACTGACAGATGAATGGCCAACTAATAGCCTATTAGCGCAGTTTAAGCCTGTAAGACTCTCGTATTGCGCCAGCTCCTTGCGGCTGGCAGTCTACCACGCATGAGGACAAAATCATGGTCTTCTACCTCAACGCCTGCCGCAAAAAAGCCCCGCAAACTCGACTTTAAAGGTCATCCAATTGCTCTGAATCGACCAATTCATTCGCCGGAGCTGGAAAAACACTCGTCCTACAGTCACCGCTTTTTATGTCCTCGAGACAAAAACCCCAGTGTTCTGGACAGAATAAACTCCTGTTCCGAGGCTTTTAGTTAATATGGAGTGCGGTAAAACGTCTTTGCCATATATAATTTATACTATTTGTTTTTAAAATGAGCATCACGTAGTTATTTCACAGTAGGTGATTGACTTCGACTCAAGCGATCCTTGAAATTTCGGATCGCACCCTAAAATGCCATGTTCCGGTCACCTGACTCCGTATTCATATGCCGTAAAGCGCATAGAGGACACTGGGGGACCCACTGAGGAGCCGAAATCCTCATTGCTGCATCGTGCAGCAGCAGAAATATCGGCGAAACACGGGTCTGGACTTTTAGCTA